TGTGCTTTTTGGGTTGCATCAGGGAAAGAAGGGTCATATTCCTTCACTTGGGAAACAAATCTGTCCCTTGCTGAAGAATATGAAAAATGGGGGGAGTAGAGAAGGAGGGGGAAGGATGGGGATGTGCTGCATGGCACCACAGATAGGGAGGGAACTGGGAACCATGGAAGGAAAGGAGAGAGGTTCGGGTGGGAGGCACAGTGGGGCCTGGGTCCAGGTAGGAGGGGTGGAAGGTTTGAGGGGAGAGGGAATGGAGGGTGAAGGTCAGCAGCCCCTTGTCTCAAGGCACGACATAACAATGGAGGTGGGAGTGAGGTGGGATGGGGCAGAATCACCCCCCCCCCCAGTGCTGGGACAGTGGGGGGCTGGGATCAGAAGCCCCATCCCTCAAGGCGCAGCATGGTGGTGGGGTGGTGGGGCAGAGGTCAGAAGTCCCGTGCCTCGAGGCGCAGCATGACGGCAGCGGGTGGCACCTTCTTCTTCAGACGGTTGAAGTCCTTGGCGGAGCGCCACAGCCAGGTCTGCAGCTCCTTGAGCAGCCAGAAGTCATCCATCTTCTTGAGGAAGTTGTTGTGGGGGCTGGTGGCGCCTGGCCCCCGGGCCCAGGTGGGATCGGCGCTGCCTAGTGGGCTGGGCAGTGGGTACCCCAGTGAGGACATGACACTGGCAATGCTCACCACCAATCCCTGCAGGCTGGTGCAGAAGTGGCCCAGGTTCTTGCGCAGCTCAGCCTTGGCCACCTGCCCATCCATGCCACGCAGGTAGCACAGCAGGTGCGTGTAGGCCCGATAATTGGCTGCCAGCCGGGCATTGTCGTTCAGGCTGCGCCACAACTCAAAGTCCACTGTGGCACTGGGCACCATCTCGGCCCTTGTCATCCGGGGAGGGTTGAAGTCCGGCTCATTGAAGGGGGGCCCGAGGTAATTCAGCTACAGTGGGTGAGAGAGGGGGACAGGGCATTAGAGTCACCCAGACAGAACCCAGTGGGCCTCTCAGACACTCCCACCAGGGTGGGGCCTGACCCATGGATGGCCAGAGACTCTGAGGTGATCGGTGTGGGCACAGCCCAGCTGCTACTCAGCCTTCTACGTGGTTCCAAGGAGATGACTAGAAGGAGACACATGAACAAGCCCCTCTTGGGAGAGCCTGGCAGTAAAAGGGGCACTGGAAGGGGTCAGTGATACTCAAGAGCCATAAGCTGGACAGATGCCCTCAGCCAGGAGGCACAGTGCAGCTGGGTGAGGCTGAGAGCAACCGGGGGCATGTGTGGCTCTTAGCTCTGGCCCTGCAGCTTTGGGACAGAGCAGTGCCTGGGGGAGCTCATGGGGAGACCTGAATTGGCATGTTTCCCAGGGCCACAGGCTCCCTAACCCCCTCGTGCTGGCTCCTAGCTCAGGAGGGGTAGTAGCCACCACGCTGATGCCCCTGGTGAGGACAGGGCCTTAGGGACTGGCCAGCGGTGCTGGGACAGTTTTTAGAGTGGGAGTGCCGAACTGCACTTACTACTTACTTATGTTTACATCACTCAGCACCCCAGGAGCTGGGGCCGGCAGCCGGGACCCTGCCTGTGGGGCCCAGTGGTGGAGCCCCCTGGGTGTGGGGCCAGCAGTCAGGCAGGATCCCATGGCCAAGTGGGACACAGGTTCAGTGGCAAAGTGGGACCTGGGGCCAATAGCCGGGACCCCAGGAGACAGGGGCAAGGGGTTAGCAACCAGCACCCTGGGCCGGGATTCCCAAAAACTAGGAGTGCTGCAGCACCCATTGCACACCTACTTCCCACACCTATGGGCCCTGTCCCTGGACAGGCACAGGTGACAGCAGGCTAGGGTCTCACTGGCTGTGGCTCTGAAGTGAATGCCATGAGGATCAGAGGCTTTGACTCCTGTACCTGCATCAAAGAGGAGGGGGGGGGACAAAGGCCTGTAGGATTGGGGCCCCTTTAGACAGAGGGTATTACCAACTAAGAGACATGGAATCAGGGAACCCCTGAGGGGAAGGGGAGATGAGGGGGGCAGGGACACTTGGCACCAAAGTGCCATGAGACAGGGGAGGTGCTGCTGGGTCTTTGGGGGAGTAAGTCTGGGGGACTGTGCCCCCTGGGAAGGGCTGCCTCTGCCCTGTCATGAGCTGTGGAATTTCCTGTGCCCCCTGGCGTGGGCGAGGACATTTCAGAGCACAGTGGGGCGGCTCTCAGGAATTCCTCCAGGGATAATGAAGGGAGGGGAGCCCTGTCTGGCAGGTGAGGCCCTAATGACAGGGCTGGGAAGTGGCAGAAGGAACCGGCTGTCAGGCCTCAGGGCAGAGATAATTTATGGGCGGCTGAGTGGGGAAGAGGAGGTGAACCAAGGCCATCAGAGTTGCTGGAGACAGGGTCCAGGTGTGCCCCCCAGACAGTGCAAAGGGTGGGGAAGAAGAGGTGTGTTCAACACTTGGGCCTATGCAAGGGATGCTGGGGAAATGAGTCAGCCCTAGCACCCTTCCTCCCATGATACGCTGACCTCCCTCACCACAGACTCACACTGACCCCCGTGCCCCACAGACACACGTTGACACTCCCCCACCCCACACAGACACACAAAGACCCTCCCCCACCCCACACAGACACACAACGGCTCCTCACATATGTATTCTCATGTGTACATGTCCCACATAACCACTGTCTCACATGCATATATCCCACACGTTCCCATTTTCATACCTATGCATATCCTGCATATTCTCACTCATACATCCGCACACACTGACACACACGCACACTCTCCCTCACACCCATACACATACTCACACCCCCACATACTCATGCACACATACCCCCCACTGACACACACACTCCTCGTACTCCCACACATACAGCACTCGCACTGCACTCATGCATATTGTACACCACCCACACATATTGCCACGTGCACCCCACTGACACATGCATATACCCCCACATACTGCCACGCATGCCCATTTTTGCCCCCAACACATGCGCTCACCCTCACACATGCATGCTAACGCCTTGCGTATACCCACCCTCCAAACTGCTACCCCCTTTGCCTCTCACATCCAGGGATTCCCCATCCCCTGGGATGACACGGACAGCAGCCCCTGCAGCAGGGGAGCCCTGGCAGGCAGTCAGGTGGACAGGGAAAGTCAGGGAGTGCAAGGGAGGTGTGTCAATGCCGCGGGTGGGGTGGCGCGGGCACCTGAACAATCTGACAAACTCAGGAGATGAATTCATTTCCTCAGTGTTGCCCGGAGGCAAATGGAGATGTCTCTTCCCATCCATTGTACATGCCTAAGCGGAAGCTGGTGGGGAGGCAGGGACAAGGTAAGCACCCTAGATGGGAGAGGCGGCAGGAGCAAAAGAGGTAGAGGGAGACATACACAAAAGTTTAGGGACAGACACAGAGTGAGCTGGAGGGAAAGCAGAGCACTAACGTGAACATGGGAGCAGGGAGCATGCCTCGTGTATGACCAGGTGAAACAGACACACAAGCTGGCCCGCCCCCTGCTGAGAGCCCTCCAAACCTACCCCTGGCCCCAGAAGAAGAAGAAGGTCTAACAAAAGCCAAGGATATCTCCAGGCTGCAGGCAGCCCACAATGGATGTCATAGGGTCAGCTCTTGCACTGCGGTGTCCAAGATGGATTAACCACTGGAGAACTCAGAGAGTCCTACAGCCAGAAAGGGCCCCTGTGATCATCTAGTTGGATTTCCTGCATAACTCAGGCCAGAATGCCGATCCCGGGGATTCCTGCCTCTGGTCCAGAACTGCTGCACTAAAGCAAATCCCTGAAAGAGCCCTCCTGCTAGAGGAAAGATTTTGGGGAGAGGAACCTGCTTGCCATGCCTGGTGGGACAGATGGCACAATTCTTAGAGCCTGGTTACCTACTGAACAATTGCATCGGTGTCCCAAAATGGCTGTTCCTCCCACTTATGGGTATTTTCACCCCCAAATCTTCAGTTTTTTCACGATTTTCGTTTTTTTGTCAACATCCCTCCACGCCCCCAAAAACATTTTAAATTTGTTTTTTCAGCTTTTCCTCTCGCACCCGGATTTTCTGTTTCAAGATGGAAACCTGATGAAAGGAGGAGGAGGAATCAAACATTTTCCAACCCAAATGTTTTTGAGAAAAAATGCGTGAAGAATTTGGAATCAAGAATAAAGGTGCCGCCGTGTGACGGTTATTGTGAAACTGCTAATAGTATTCACAGAATCTCTGACAAGATTGCCTCTCAATCCCATTTTGAGCTTTGCTGACTTCATTGTCTTCTAGCCACTGGATCTCACTCTGTCTTTGCTCGTTTAAAAAGCCCTCCTGAATCAGGAAGATCTTCCTGTCCAGAGACTTGCAGACCAGGGTCAATCACTCTTTAACCTTTTCTTCAATAAGCTCAGTAGATAAATACCACCTCGCAGCCTCTCCCAGAGCTTGTC